GAGCAGAAGGCTGTTTAAGTGATAAAGCCATATTTGGGTTTTCACAATACCACTACTTTGAAGAGTAGTTCTGCTGTAATACAGTTTTGCTGCTCAGTATCTTCTCCTATCTAAGTCTCTGCATTGAATTTCCCCAACCATACATTTTCAACAGTATAATTAAATTAATCTCCAGTCAAATGAAACAGATCCTTCTTCATGTCAGAAAAATGTACACTCCTGTTTCTATAATTGTAGTCAAATACAAACATGTTTATTACACTGTAAGGACCAGAGCATGGTGTTTAACATTTGCAACTAGGCTTAGGTAGCAGATTTGTATAGCCGACTTTGTTAACTTATCATCCTTTATTTCTACTGTATATTATTCATACTGTAATATCCAGCAAGAAAGACTTAAGAATACTGTTCAAAATATTAGTAGTTGGCAAGGTAACCAGCACGTAGAGTAAACGGCAAACTCCGAGTAATAATAAAACCTGCTTTGATTATCTTTTACTATCAACATGTATATATTGTACTTGTTAGTTCCGTTTCATTTCCTATTGTGAGATGTTATTATGTTCTACTGTCGTTTACTTTCACATTTGCAATGCCTTGTTTACATGCTGCTTTGACAGACAATTGGCATGAATAAAGTCAATCTTATCTTATTATTTTACACACATACTGTATGTTATATGGATCTGTTAGCATGCTAGGTAACATTAGCCAATTAGCATCAGCTGGCTAAAACGTCAGTTAACGATGCCAAAGTGGCTTACTTTGCTGTACCACATACACAGTGAGTTATGAAAAGTACATTGAATTTAGCTAACGCTGTAAAGTCATTTTAAGGCCTCATAATGACTTGTATTTAAGCGCTAAAAGCTAACCGAGTAGCATCACAACAGTCTCCTCTGGGATGTAAACTTACGGCCGTTTGACGTTAACGTATTAGTCTTCTTTTTTTTAAATTAGCTAACTTTGATAGAAGCTGCATTTATCGCTTACTTACCATTATGGGAGATCTTCAAACGTTACACGCTTGGATCGTTCACCAATTTTTAATGGAAAGAAAACAGATGCAACACCAAAACAGTGAACGAATTAGCTCGATAGCTAGCGTTTCGCTAAGATGTACACGGAAATAACATCGATCATAATCGGCTGAACTCGTTGCTACTCGTAAAAATACACGAATCTCATTGGTCGTTGGTCATGTGTTATTCTTCTTCTTCGGTGGCAAATTAACCATCAAACGGTGCACTACTGCCACCTGTTGGATTGTTTAAGAAATGCGTTTAGTGCGGAAAATACTCGCACAAATCAAATCAGTGGTTTTTCTATTATGGTCGTCACAATAATGCTGTAGTAGGGGGAATATATAGAATACAGTTTAAATATGAGGAATATAGGATGATACTAGTTTATTGATAATCATGCTACTATATGTGTACTTTAGTTCTTATTAGATATAAATGTATTATTGTTTTGTCTTGTGCCATTGGTCGAAAATATAAATAGAACAATATATAATTCACATAAACTATTTAAAATATATGATATTAAAAGTAATATTGCACATTATATCTCAAAAGTTATGTATGTACAGGAGGAGAAATACAGGTGCCTTAAAAAGCAAAAACATTAAAACCATTCATGTTTCTGTTATTTCACAAACACACACGCACATTCACACACACACACACACACACACACATTCACAAAAAAACACACACACAGATAAAGAGAGAGAGAGGGAGAGAGAGAGAGGCTTTATGTTGCAGTTAAACCTCCAATGCTGAGATTTCACTGAGGGATGCGTCTATGATAAACGCTTCATAGTGGATTGCATACTTCTACAAAATGTCATGAGAAGTGAGTACAATTTGTATTTTACAATATTCTCCATTTACAGACAGCAATAGTGAGGGATAACCACTGTGGGCGTTGGATTCCAGTACATAACAGCAATGAATCATATCAGGCAAATCTTTAGTTTTCAATATTTGACGGCTTTCATCTATTCCTTCGATCAAATAAACTGAATTATAGTTCATTGAATTTAAATCATTTTAACTTGACTCATTCACTTCAACACGATACTACATTATACCCTATTTACATCCTTGGTATCATCTTTAAATGATTACTGTATACCTAATAGATAATAAGTACAAGAAAGAAAGAAAGAAATAGTCAATATGATAAAATATTTGAGATAGTTGCCACGAGGTGTTCTCTGTTTTTTCTGCAAAAAACCCTCTGTCAAGATGTCACAGGAAGTAAGTATTACATTAATAATTGATGAAAAGTCAAATCAAGGTCTCACATTCTCATATAGCTGTCAGAATATCCCTGTGCTGCCTCTCATCATTGTAAATGTTTTGAAAATGCTGATTAATAATAGATTAACTTCTCCGCCATTTCTGAGATGTCCACTCATCACTAACAGCTATGAAACCTCAACTACACATCTGACTGCGGTAGAGAATGATGCGGTTTAATGTCATAATATTAAGTGAATTATAAATAAGGAAGTAAGTAAGTAAAGGTTTAAGGTTATGATTTCTTATGTTTCATTCACAGACATAAAAAAAGGTAGGCTGATGCACATAAAAAATGAATATTAACAATGAACAAACACAATTATAAAATATATATAAATGAAAAGATATGAGTAAAATAAGAATAAAACAAATATATATATAACTGTTACATTTTATAGTTTGTTTCATATTAAACGGTTCTGATTTGTTGTCTTTCATTTACCGAGCTTGAAGCAGGATGGATGGAAAACTGGATTGTCTAGCTCTGAATGGAAAGATGGAAGATGGAAATAAAGTCAAACCAAACATCTGTGACTCACCGACCGATGCTTCTAAGTGTCCCATTTTACCTGAGGACTCCATTGCAGGTAAATTCACAAAACAGGGTTTTGTATGGTTTTAAATCAAATGAGTTGTCATTCAATTAGGATAGTCTATAAATACCACAGTGACGCAATACTGCATAAATGTCACAAGTAAAATCCTGATTTGAAAATGTTACTTAAGCAAAAGAACCAACATTTAAGCATAAAATATATTCAAAGTACAAAAAGTAATATCAGTCGCTGCAGAATGGCCCATTGCATTCTGTATATCATATATTTGTTTTATTATTGAAGGATTAAGGTTTTTTTTTGCAGCTAGTGAAGGGGAAGCTAAACTCATTACTATAAAGATTGCTTTGTCGCTTGTGAATTTACTTGAAGTATTAAAGTCTCATTAATGCAAAGTAAGTTACTCAAGCTTTCAGATAAATGTTCAAAATTGCAGTAACTACCTACGAATTGTTATGGAGTAGAAGTATAAAGTATCAGAAAATCAAAGTGCTTAAGATAAAAACAAGTATACCTTAAATAGGTACACTACATTTATTTTCCACCACTGTTTGGCTCTTTGGTAAAAATGAAATGTTCTTTTCTCACAGGGTCTTTGACTGAAGTCACCATTTTTTCAGAGCAGATCTCCTCCGAAGACTTATCTTTAACTGACATCCCTATGAATGTTTTCCCAACAGTAATAGGTATACCTTCATCTCTGAACTCTTTTGTTAATCGCTATTTTTTTTGTTGCAGTTTTGATGAAGATTTGTTCAATTTGTATGTCCGGTGCAGATACCACCTTGCATAAAAACCCAAAAGGAGGAGAGAGCGTAGATGTGTTCCCCTGCAGCTCTGTGGAGCCGCCGCAGCCTCTTTGTGCCGCGCGGCCCTCCTCCATGGAGGCCTGCACTGTGCAGGAAATGAGTCAGACGTTCACTTCCATCAGCCGGAGTCAAGACAGCCTCAAAACCACCACCACGGTCCACACTGAGCCCGATGCTGACGGTAAGGACACACTCTTTAGTAATGGTAACTGATAAACAGTGTATGACAGTTACATATGAATAGGCTATATGTGACAGTTTGATGAGATGAAACTACCAGCTCACACACACAAATAAGTATACTGATATTGAATAAATAACAATAGACAAAAATGTTTTTTTTTAGGATCCCCTCTAACATTTTGAATAACTATAGTCTGATATACGGATAAAGGAAACACCCATAAAATGCCAATTATATTTATTGTTCAGCCCCCGCCACTTCAGGGCTAATTTTGTCCCATTTTATGTTGTGTTGTACCACCTTGTAATGATTTGTGGCAACATTCAAAATAATTTGGCTTTACAATGTATGTTTTAGAAACCTTATAGGGGCCCTATTGTGCTTTGAGTTTTTTTTTACCTTTCCTGTAGTGTGTTATAGGTTGTTGTGCATGTAAAGGGTCTGAAACGCCTCCATTGAACTCCTGGAACATATAGTGACATCACCTCATAACACTTGTGCTTCTATTGGGTAGCGCTCCGACACATTGTACGTGATAGGCTAAGGGGTGGGACACTTTTAAGCGGTTGATCAATCACAACAGAGCCGGACAGCTAACCAATCAGAGCAGACTGGGCTCTGGTTTCAGACAGAGGGCGAAAAGAGGTGATGCAGCACAGGCAGTATGAGAACAATAAAGAGCTTTTTGAACATTAAAGCATGGAGACATGTCACAGTAGAGACACAAACTACGAATACAAATCTGAAAATTAGCTTCATAGGACCCACTAAATGTTTTTTCTCTCAAATTGAAGCATCCTTGTCTCTCTTTTCCTCTTTCCCCAAGACCTTTGTGCTGCAATCCTTCTGTCCTGCCTGTTCTGTCACCCTCTGGACTGTTTCCTGGCCGTGATGAGAGGCTGTAACGGCTGCATTTGGTCTCTGTGCTCGTGCCTCTGCGGCTGCGAGCCCAGCACCCTGGAGCCCCTCCTGGGCGTCACCCGGAGCGGCGACCTCTGCGGGTGTCTGGGTGTTCGCTGCTTCCTGTGCGACTGTCCCACCTACGACATCTGCCTCCAGACCACCGAGTGCCTGGACCTCGCCATGGAGATCTCCCAAATGCTTTACCACTAAACGCAGCCAATAACCACAGACACACAGGAAATATACATAGGAATCATTTATTTGTTAAAATCTTTTCCGAAAGCCAACTTGTAGGGACACAAATGCTACCAGTTCATGGTTAACAGTCAATGTTAGCACTCAGATAAATGTCAAGGTAGGACATGGTTAATATATGGAGGAGGGCGTTAAGTATGAGCGGTAAAATCTCTCATTTTATGGGACTAGGAACAACGCAGTTTTGAAGCATTTAGCCATGTAGCAGAGCTCATAATCAATCAATCTAACCACCAAATAGTTAGAATATATTTGGCTGCTGAGTAGTTTAAAATGTATACAAGTCAATAACTTGGAGGTTGTGTCGGAGGAAAATAAAAATCAGTCTGTCAGTGTTTTAAAAAAAAGAAAATTTTAAACTCACATTCATGTACTGTACACCATGTCGCGTAAAGCATCTGACCAATTAAAATGCCTTTCTAAACGTTGTGGCTATTTTATTGAGTAATAATTGCATTGCAGGTTTCACACGACAAACGGTTATACCTTATCGTTACAGACGTGAGGCTAGTGGTTGGTTTAAAAGAAAGTCAAAGCCCTCTGAATTCAAACTACAATGAGCGATAATAAACTATTAGATGCATCACTGTTGATCGTCCAAAAACCGAAATAAAACAGAAGCCATAATCTTTGAAGAACCAGTCAAATCACCCAGTGACAAACAACGACTGACAACACAGATATTAGTGAGAAGAGGCGACTTCTATTAAGGTATAAAAGTGTAATGAACTGCAGTACTGTTGTAAAAGATGAAATTGTTCTCATTCTGTCTTGCATTTCAATTGACTGCGTGAATATATTCAAAAATAAAAAACCGCTGATTTGTAATAGCTACTCTGGAAGAAGTCCTGCTTTGGCTAGCTAGCTGCAGCAGAGAGTGATTTTCCATTGCTTTTAAATGTTATTACAAATACATGCATCCCTGGGCCTTATCCGTCCACTGTGTGTGATAGTAATAAAAACAGACAAAAGCTCTCATAAAATGCATAGACTGCCTTCAAATAAGGTGCAATAAAACTGCTCAAAATAAAATATTCTTATATACATTATGCGGTAAATATTTCACGATGTGCCAATTCACTTTACATAGATCCCTTCTGTAGCTGCTGGTGAGACAAACCAACATGGAGCAGCTGCTATAAACAAACCCTGATTCCAGTCATTTGAAAAAAAAAAACGAAATATAATTTGTTTGTTAAAAAATAAACCTCACAGCTTTCTTCCCTAAGTATGAGCATATAATAAATTCAAGCAAACTTTAAAATCCCTCTTATATCTCTGAAGTAAAATCTATTTATAGAATGTGTTATCGCTTAATCCATGCCCCTATTATACAATATTACATTTCTTGATAAGATTGCATTTAAAAACCCAGACATAATCATCTGAACAGCTCCAAACAGGAACAATAATCATAATAATAAGGTCTGTATGGCGAAATTAGGAATAACGTACTTTGTCCAATGTTTGTTAGTTTTGATCTTATTGTTTCAGTCCTATAAACAGACTTGTGTTATTTTGGGATAGACGCCCCGGCCTTCTCGTCCCTGCAGACAGTCTCTGCCAATCAAAGAGCTCATCATAAGTCCTCGTCCATCTCCAGGCTGCTCCTGCGACTGCTTGTTTTCGAGGCACAGGGTGACAGAGGGGAGAAGAAAGACTCCCCCCCCCGATCCAGGGTGCACCCGTCGTCCATGAGAATGTCTCCCAAGCTCACGTCGGGGTAGAACTCCGAGGCCGAGGCGTCGTCCAGCTCGGCGAAGCTCAGGCTGCCCAGGTCCAGGGGGCTGCTGAGGGTGACCCCCGCGGGAGAGTCTGAGGAGGGGGGGGACAGGAAGGAGGCCGGGAGAGGCTGTCCGACGAGGCCCAGGTGGCTCTGGGAGGAGAGTCCTCCGGCGCTGGGAAGCTGGCCGCTCTGAGGGAGCTGCTGCTGCTGCTGCTGCTGGAGCAGGGGGGGGTCGGGGCTCAGCCCGCCCAGGCCGCTCAGCCGCGCCTGCATCTCCAGCTCCTGGGAGAGAAAGACGGTGGGATTTTTACATGCAGAAGCAAAAGAGTGGTGCAGGAAAGAGTTCTAAAATCCGGAAATGAGTTAGCATTTGACCACTTCCATTTCCATTACGTTACATTTCATTTAGCTGAAGCTTTTCAATCCAAAGCCGAACAATGAGTGCAATAAACCATAACGATACTAACTCAGAACAACAGTGCAGGTCCTGTTTATCCGCTTCCAATAGAGAGGCGAAGTCCCTCCCTTTCCGGGGGAGCTCCATGGGACCTTATTTCGGAAAAAGTATGTATTGAAATCAATGGAGAGAGAAAAATTATCTTTCGATCCCGTTTGAATTGTGCCACGAATTAACATATGATGTTTGTCAAAAAAAATGTTGTCGTAAAACTGAAGTAAAACTTTTTTTTGTGAAACCGCTCAATGAACTACATCTCCCATCTCGCACCACACACCAAGACGGCCGTCACGTTGGCACATTTCACTTCTTTCTTTCAGAATGAGGCAAAAAGTATTAAACGAGGTGAAAATCACTCCAAGTCTGGGCATGTTGAGAGCTTTACATACACACAAGGGGAGTTAGTCTGTTCCGTAAGAGCCAGCATGCAGGACCGGGATTCTGGGATTTGTAGTCTTTCTAGTTGCGTATTTTTCATAGTCTTATATTTCAACAGTTTTACGACAAACTGCGACTTTTTGACATGGAAATAATTTGATAAGATTGACAAACATCATATGTGTAATTCGTGGCACAATTCAAACGGGATCGAAAGATAATCTTTCTCTCCCATTGACTTCAATACATCTATTTTTCCGAAATAAGGTCCCATGGGTCGGAGTAGATGGAGGGACTTCGCCTCTCTATTGCAGCTACAGTAAAATATTATGTTTTTTAAAAGCATTCAACAGAAGGGTGACAATTACA